GAGAGAGAGAGAGAGAGAGAGAGAGTGCTAATATTAGTTATCTTAAAATACTTGAACAATAAAAAAATTCGCTCTTTAACATATCACAAGTCTAATTGTAAGTAAAAATCTTAATTATCTAAAAATAAACTATTACCTATCGATTTAAAGCCAAGTACCAAAGTAACACAGATTAGCGTAATATTACGTAAAATTATTATATTGACGATTTCTTCATCAATGTCTATTGGTTTAGGTAAGGTATTGCAATCAACATTTAATATAAAGACGATATTGAACAAACTTTGTAAACTACATTAAAATTATATAGATCTTGTTTTTCACTTTCATTACTACAAGTAACACGTTTTCATAAAAATTATCAGAAATAATAGATACTTAAAAATAAAAAATTATTATATATATATATATATTTAAAGGAATTATTATTATGAAAAATCTTTTAAACTTAGTCTTGAATAAAAAGTCTACTATTTTCTGTTGTAGTATGCGACATATGCGTGTTTCCTTCTAATAACTTTTTACATTCTTCATTATCTTTATGTAATTCAACTGTAATTTTTTAAGAAATATTTTATACAATATAATATTATTTACGATATAATTGGGATTTACTGTCGTTAATTTGTAATTAACTTTTCAAATTATATAAACCTGTAAGTAACTGAAATAAATTTCGTACCCCATGTCTTTTATTCTCGATCAGAGAACCCACATTTAATGCCTCATCATTTTTATTGAGATAAAAATCGGCTTTTCCTAATATAACAAGGCAATTATAGATAAATAAATGTCACATTCTCAGACAATCTATATAAGGAATGCATACGATCGATCTTTTATTATAAAGTGTTTTCGCACTACCATGGTCTCCACATCGGGTCGCGATCATCCACGCGCTCTACGTCGATTTCTTCATCGTCATCGGCATTAATGTTATGCGGGTCATTCGTTTTATTCCTCGTCGTCGTCGGCGGTCGACGGTCCCTCAGACTCTTCAGTTTGGCACTGTAATTTACTGTTAATTTCTCATCGCCATTAACGAGCGATACTGAGGTCCGACATCGAGGCGTGGAGGAGGCGGTCGTCGATGCGCCCGCGTCGTGAATCCCGGCAACAATTTTATCGGTGTGAGGCGTGGATCTTATCGGCGACGTGTTCGAGGAGAGGATCGCCGAGTCAATTTCGCCGGAGGTGCCGACGGGACAAGGTACCACGATGTTGGCGATGCGATCCAGATTGGCCAGGGTAGGCGATAACAGGTTGGCTTTCGGCTGAGGAGAACACATTTTTTGTCGTCATTATGGCGGTCATTAACACTTCGCGATCATAAATCTTTGCGACTCGCACTATTCCCGCGACTCGATCGCGGTAATACCCTTTTCGCCATTTTTGGGCACAACTTCGTGAGATGTAATGGCCAGACGTGACTGCATTTACTTATTCTTCATAAATTTTTCATAAGAAATTAATATTCTATACAATACTGTACAAAATATTAATTTCTTATTAAAAATCTTATAAAAAACGCGGATACAATATATTGTACGGAATATTAATTTCTTATAAAATTGTATATAATTTATGTATGCAAACTTTCAGCAGAATATTACTAAAATTTATAGAACTATACATTACAAGATAAAACATAAGAATACCAAAGACTATGACACACAAAAGCTTAAGCAGTAAGCAGTAACAAATTAAATTCAACATTCCTTATTGTTTACGTCTTACTGCTTAAATATTGTTGCGTGTCATGGCTCTATCAGGAAACATATCCTGCTATACGTAATTAACTATAAAATTGTTCATATAAATATGCGACACACAAAATGACACTTAAATTTTCCCAGTTTATGAATATTACTGTCTGCATAATTTTCACACTTTAATCATTAGTTACCAGCGCGTTGCAATAAAGTATATGTATTAAATATAATTAAGGTAAATTGTACGTTGTTACTCCCTCGCATAAGTCTATTGTACGACCACGCGAATTCGATGTACACGCGGCGGCGACTTGTCATACGAGGCACGTATACTTCATATCTCTTAAACAACAGTAATTAGCGAGGTTGCGGTAACCGAGTCATACCATAAACGACGCGATGTAATATTTCACCGAAAAGTGAAATGCCCCAATTAAAAGTCATTTTTTTGCGAACAGTACATGCAGCGACGCGCCGGATTTAACTACAAATTTAATGTATTATGAATTTACGAGACACGATCAGCGAGAAATACGTATATGTAATCGATATTCTTTGCTTAATCACAGATCACCTCGTTTATCCTTGTCGCTTTCCCTCGTGCCGTGCCATCCATTAATTACTCACAGATCGAAAACAATAATTACCGGCGAATTTGTTTGCCGGCCCGTTTGGAGACCAGCTGCGAGGTGTCTTGCCAGCCTCTCCGCGGCTTCACCTGGAAGCGACGAGAGAAATCTGTAAGCTTCCGCTGCGCAATGCCCGAAGCCGGATTGCCAGCGGCTTTCCGACGAAATTTCGTCGCCGTTGGCAATTGCTACTGATAATCCGGAAGGTCGCGAGGCCTGCAGCTTCTGCAGATGACGTACCGTCAGCTCGAGGATATCCGCCTTCTCCAGCTTACTGATGTTCTCGCCTTCGGTCTACAAATCATTCCAATTTTTTACATATTTCATTTTTCCTGTCGATTTGAAATAAAACAAAAACTTGAGCAAGTATCTCTCATTTTCTATAACAACACAAACATGATTGTTTTGGGGTTAAAAAGAACGGAAACGTAAAATAAAACATAAACAATACATTTTTATTTCTCCAAAATCAGTTACTATATCAAAATTAAATTGCAAAATATCACAAACTTTAACATTACAAATTTTAATGATTGAAAATATGATTCAAACTGATTTTCTGTTTTTTAAATTTAATTTTTCTACTTTTATCTTACATGCTATTTAACAATTTGTATAATTTTATTGCGCATCGACATCCGCTTGATTCCTATATTTTCAATTAATTTGGTTTTTGTTATTTGTTTTTTAGTTGCAGTGTCGTTGTCGCAAATGAGCGATATAATATTGGTAAGAAAATAATTATCGCCACTATGCGCAAAAGAATATAATGAATATTAATTCTAATAATTTAACATCAGTTTTGTTTCCAATCATGTTTGAAATTACAACCAAGTGTGTAATGATCATTATATCAGCCGCAATGCTCGTCTATCGTAAGTATGTACAATTTCGCGCTTCTGCCGAGTTAAGGCCTTCCGTTTCTGTCAGACTAGTCTCTCATCGGCCATCTGCACTAAGTAAGTAAGTACCGCGAGAAAACGAACGATTCCGCAAAAAGGAACTCGAGTTCTTCGCATTAGAAGAGAGAGAGAGATTGCCATTAAGATGGTATCGTTACCGGCACGTAACGCCTGCGGGGCGGTGTACTTTACGTCACTCGATTGCTTATTACAAAAAGAAATGGAGACGAGCGATTCTAAAGGATCATGGCCACGGCGCCTAAGCGTGGAAGCTTTACGCTCGCCAGTTCACGACGTTTTGCGAGAAGAAGAATAGCATCCGGTCGCGGCGGGCATTAAGCCGTACGAAACGTGCCGATCGGACCGGGTAATGTGCCGTTGGAAAATTAGCATGGTGAAATCGGCGGTGCCTTTCACGCTGATTCAGCGAATTATCGCGCGAACGTAAGTTTCACGCGGGCGAATGTTTCGCGCGGTAAGACGGTATCGACAAATTGCCATCAGTGGCGAGGCGCATTGTAGCGAGTACCACTTAAGATGTAATGTACAGGAAACGTGTAATAGCATTTCTTTAATGCCCCATTGGTTTGCCCGTTGTTCTCGAACTCAGGGAAATCTTAGACCTCGACTCCCTTATTTTCGTCGAATACGCCGAAAAAAGAGCTCTCCAATATTGAGTGAAATAACTTCAGTCAAAATGTTCAATTAACATAACAAAAATAATTTCAATTTTCTATAAATATTTAATAAATGCCATTAAACGTAATAATGTAATCTATTTATGTTTAATAATGTGATTATTAAAGAAAGTTATTTTTGGTTGTATTAACCAAATATTTGATTAAAATTATTTCATTAAAAAACACACTTTAGTAACTATTACCTAAGCTTGATTATTATTATCAGACTTTTTTCAGTAATATATGTATAATTTTAACGTTGTACGATTATTTAAAACTGAATTTTAATACAGTACTTTGCATTTTTTGATAAAAGTAGTACTATCTATGAAGCATAAATCACATAAGCAGAAATCACGCGTCTTTCTGTAATTATCATGCAGCATAGAATTATATTTTCTGTAACACAAGTGCTATCTGAGAATTTAAGAGCAGAGCCTGCTTTATCTCGCATTAAATCCTAAATTAGTTCGTCCAATTATTCTAACGCTTTAGTTGTTTGTCCGCATCGCATTATCGGACTGAGAATTGTGCGGTTGTGCGTAACACTGAACATGAACATGCAATGTAAATACCGAACGGAGCGTAACGCTGGGACGCAATTATCATTACAGATTAGACGGCGATAATTGAAGATATTTAAATATCACGTATACGTAAAGCGCGCGTAAAAGCAATCCGCTTGACTACACACTGAATATCATTTTGTTGACACCCGTTCGCCGGGTGCAGGTTCCCACGCTCTGAGAATATTTAAAAGCAAAATCGCCTGCACGCGTAGTTGCGGCAGGAGAATGCGTTTCCTGCTAAGCGCGATCCGTAAAATTGCAGCAGGGACGGTGACGTGCGAGGGGAGAGCACTCGGTATCATAAATAGAGTCGGTGGGAGTCGAGCAAGAAACACGCGTTTCCTCCGAGGAGGAAGAAAAAAAGAGAGCATAGCACGTGCTCGCTGAACCAGGCTATACGCGGTATCGGCTCCAAGATTCTTGCGTTCGGAAATGTCGCCACCTTTTCTCGCCGTTAAACAATTTATCTCGATCGTGCGAAGGAAGGAAAAAAAAAAAGGATCGCGCGCGGAGTGAAAGTTAATTGCCACTCACAAAAAAGTTGCAAACGCGTGAAGTCGCGTACCATTATTACAGTCAACCACGTCTCTCGCGTAACTCATAACACTCTTTCGCAAAACACCTGTTCAAAGTAATAATATTGATTCTAGACGTACAAAGAAAGACGTTACTAAATATGGTGAGTATTTGTAAGTGTCTTTCTCTTCCCACAAAAAAAGAACGATTTTGTTGAAATACAATGTATAAAAATATATCTGACGATAACTTTGTTGAATCATCAAAATAATTGTATAGGAAATTTAAGCATATAGCAAGCGATGCTGCAAGTTTTGATATTCTAACGCAACCAGCTTGCGTGTGAGGATTCTACATAATTATTTTGATAGTCCAATTATTTGTTTCCAATTTTTTTGTGAATTTATATAATTTCCGGTTTAAGCTGTGCGCCGATTATTTATCTTCAAATAATCAAATTTATTTTCAGATATGTATTTATAGCTAAATTTTAGATACTTTCATAAAAGTAGGTTATAGAGAATAGAATATACAATTGTATTTTGTTGCTATCGTTCTCTTTCTCTCTCACTTTAATGTTAACACCCAGCTGCCGTTTCAAACTATAATATTATATGTTTTATATCGAGAATGAAAAGATCAGCACACCTACCTCCAGTGCGTCCACCATAAGATCCTTGAGCTCGTCGAGGCAACGATTTATTCGCGCTCGTCTCTTCCTTTCCAAAAGCGGCTTTGTTATCTGGTTATTGAACATACGTTATATTTTATTAATCAATATCTCAGCAGCTGCTTCAAGCATTCCCGTATCGACCAGGCCCGGTGAAATCTTTCGCGCCTCGATTTTGCATCTCTCAGCGCGCGTGGTCGATCGTTCATCACAAAGTAAATTGCTAATTTATGACGTGGTCGGGACGCGCGAAGATGGGAATCGTGGCGCCGAAGCGACAGAACGTAAGTAATAATCGAGTTGCACCGCCGCTTTATTATCGTTGCATCTCCGGCATTAATTCAAGAATGAAATCTTCGATTTGTAACCTGGACGAGTCGCGCGCAAGAATCACGGTCTCTTGTTGTTTCATCGCGGCAACGAGGCAGCTCGAAAGCAATGATTTACCTTCAATTAGCAACCGGTAATTCGTTCTGCGCGCCATTCCTCATCGATTACAATTTTTTCGATGATTAAACCGCGAGAGGAAGTACGAATTTATGCTTTACGACATCAGGTGCTAAGTCGTCGAGAAAAAATAATCAATTGCTGATGTCGGACCACAAATGTACGCCTGATGAAACACTTTGTCAAGTACTCGCCTACTCAATTATTGATTTATCGAATGATGAGTGAAAATTGAAATCATCGTATACAAGTAGAATTATACATCAATGGCTACGTTCAGCAGAACGTTTATTTTGCCATCTATTGAACGTTTCTTTCATCTCGTTAGATTACATTTTTAGAAGAATAGTCCGATTTCAGCGAAGAAAATTTCTAACAGTTGCGAAATAAACGTTTTACTGAACGTAACCAATGTATCCTTCGTATATATTTCTCGCGCTTAGCTCATATTATCGACGTTACACGCCATTATTAAATATTACATACAGATACTGTATCAAAGTTACGCACAGCACGAAGCTAATTAACCGTCGATAAGGAATCGTACGCCTCTATTATAAAAATAGATCTCTACGTGCTGTTGGCAATTGATGAATGTGACTCATATGTGAACTTCGATTTGGTTTGAAAAGTAAACAGCTACGCGAACTTGCACAATCTCTCTTGCGTACGATCGTACGTAATTAAACATTAAATATATCAAATAACACTTAATTGCCCGCCACTATACATTTCTAACTCGCATTAAAGTTGCACAAATAGAAAATCTGTGCTTATCGTTTATGCTTAACTATATTGATCGCAATACCTTCTTGTATTGGTACGTTCTCGAGACCGGATGAGGATAATCGTACGACATCATTGCAGGTGGGAAAGACATAAATCCAAAAAGGGAACTAGAAACTGTAAAAGAGAGAAGCAATCGATACAGCGTAATCGATATATAACATAAACAGATTCTACGATAAAGTATCGCAGTAACAAGAACAGGACTAATTAATGCCTGAGCAGTTGTAAGTACATGATTATTTATAATATTATAAATAATAATATGTCATGCAAGACAGGAACATTGAAAAATGCAAATGCAGAGATTCTTTCATTTATTTAGTTTACTAAATATCACTATCTTAATCTAAGTTCAAAATCCTTTTGTTTTTTTTATTTACAACTAATTTACTGTCTACGGTTGAATATGTGAGAATAAATAACAGTGAATATATTACCAGCAATTAAATACAATCGTCAGTGAAGCTAAACATAGCCAGTCAAACCGGATGGTAAAATATATAATGAAAATCAAATGCAGTTTCGCTAGCAGCTAACAAATTTATTCAATAAATAAACACGTAAGCGTCATTGGCAAGTGCCAGACGATCAGACGAGAGCCGGCACATTGGAAATTTAATTCACACTTTGACAGAGCCGTATAAAATATTTATCTCTAAAACTTATACTCGTCTATATACAAAAATACTAATCACAAATTGAGAAATATCAAATATGCAAAAATTAACTTTCTCACAAAAATATGAATGATTATTTTTGTATGTTTTAGAAGGAAAAATTTAATTTTATACGAAAAATAGCAATCTCTAGTAATAAAATGTGTATAAATAACGTATAAAAAATAATAAAATTTTAAGCAGAAAAATGTATGTATATACCTTTATTAAAACTGGCAATTCCAACAGCGGACGGCAATTATGAAAATCGTCATTTGAAGAGAATTACTAGAGACACTGCCGTATAAAATGTTGAAGAGCCTATCACTTTGTTTATCCTATCAAATCAACGAAATCGTACGAGATGCATGCGACGGTATCGTCTTCAAGACTTTTGTCAAACAGTCCGATCATATCACGAGCCGATTTGCCTTACGGCGTCTCACCGCGACATTTTACATCTCCCGTGTCGAAATGTAAATGGACAAAATATCGGATAACGCGTGTATATCGACGATACGTCGAGCGGATTGACAGATCGGGACGGGCTGACATTAGACACACAAGCGGGTGCACTTGGTGAAGTCTCTACACCAACTGACTCGATGCTCTCCGCAGCCATTCCGGCACAGGCTACCCTCACCCAGCTACGAACCCTCCGGAGAAGTTACTTTGGATAGGAAGGTCGCTCCAAATGCTTCGTTGTGTTGTACTAACACGAGCGCACGCGCGTAATCGTGCGTACCGATGGACCGACAAAAGTACGAGGGACTGCGCACGAAAGAATATAGTTTAAAGTCAATGCATTTCAACGATACTGCCGAATCAATTACATCGAATTTTTTCATGAAAATCGCACGAAATCTCTTCGTTTTCTGCGATCTTTCACGTGATAGACTTTTAAAAAGTATGTAATTTAAGTTAATTGCAATAAATATCAAAATTTATCGTTGTCAATTTTTCACAATATCGATTGATTTTTATTGCTCTTTATTATTAGAGAGATTTTGATTTGAAGTAAAATTTAATAGATTAGAAGCTGATAGTTTTATATAATAAATAAGAAATAAAGAGACTGATCAGATCTCCAGCAGTAATTTATATTGCATTAAATATGCATTAATTATATGTATAGTATGTACATATTGACATATACATATATAATATATACACACATATATATTCTTTTTAAATAAATTATAATCACATTGAATTAAACACGTAATAAATATTTATATAATTATTAATATTTATATAATTCAATAACTAATAAATTACAATACACGATTTAAAATTATCTAAAGAAACATATTTTTATTACAATTCTGAATATAAAATAAATTTTACCTTTATAAAATGTAGATATGTTTTGTAAATACATATTTTAATGATATATAATTTAATGATGTACAATTAACAATGTATTATTGAAATTTCTTTTTATATAAAATAATATTTAACAGAAAATTTGTACATAAGATTTCAAATATGCCGATAGAAAAAACATGAAGAGCAGCATATTGTTATAGTAAGTTGTAAACATCATTGCTAGATATTGTTTATAGAGAGACAAAAATCAAAGGTTAAATAACGAGAATGTTTTAAATTGATTGTATGATAACGTCTATATGTAGTACTTCACAAAAAGGAGTTTAAATAAAAGAAAACTGATATTAGCGAATGTGTTTGAAAATTCATGATGTTGGTGAACGTCTTGGTTCCATTATTTTTGGGTAAGCTAACAAGATACCATAGATGTTTAAATTCAACTAATGTATATTTATTACTGAGTTTTATTTGTCAGTTTTTACATAATTTCCTAATCATAATCATAACTCTCTTAACAATCTTAACTATTATGCTTCTACTTCTATTATCATATAGTAATGTTTTAAATACTTATAATTAAAAGATATATATAATAAATATAAGAAATATATATATATAATAAATGTAAAAGTGAATAAAAAGAACCAAGTCCACATATTCTCTTACATTCTTTTTTTGAACGTAAAAATATTTGAATTGTAAGACAATGTCTACTTATGATATTTTATATGTATATATTTTTTGGAAAAAACTAAAATCTTACTAGTTAACCTAAGTTAAGATAGAAGTTTTAGAAGACGAGTTACAAAGATTAATTTCTATAACAAAAAATGACGATATTTTAATACAGTATTTGATTAAATTTCTTGTTTATTTATTTAGCGATCGATGCAAATGTTTCCAATACATTGGATTTTTTTCATTTGGAATACTCATATAATGTGAGCAAACTCATAATAAAATACAAAGAACCTATGGAAGTTATGGAATTAACTTCTACAATAATATGTTGGCCCCTTTCACTGAGATCTATTCGTTGTTTCATACATGATATCACGTACGAAACGACTGTGAAATATATATTTTCGGGCATTACAAACGTCAAGAAAAACTTATTGATAGTCAAAACGTGGTTCTACATATGGTTCAATATAAATGATAATTTCTTAACAACATACATACGAACAGAAGATGAGGAGATTAAAAGTTTTATTAATCATTTTTGTCAACAATTTAACTTAGGTATTAATTTAGAGGATCATAAATTACATATGGGTGTCCGATCGGAGTTTACCGTAAAAGAAAAGACACCAATAGGCGTTTGCCAAACTATGTATGATATAAATGTATCGTATATTGAGAAAAATGTAAGTAAGGAAACAAATTCCATTTTTCAAATTAGACTGTTATCGATGTTGAATTATTCTGACCAACAAGATTTACATGTACATATTGCGAAGTATAGAACGAGATGCGATACCTTGAATAAGACGATAAAAATGGTGTGTATAGATTTCATTACGTTTTATATTTTTCTGTGTCGTTTTTTTTATTAGATATAAAAGGTTGATTGTTGCGTATTAGTTTTAATGATTTTATAAAATTAGAGATCTATTTTATATCTTTTATATTGTATATATAATCATTGTAATTGTATAGCGTTACAGTCGTTAAGAATTATAGAAAACCCTTAATTTCTTGATTGCTTGAACAGTTTCATTAATTCCTTAATTGAAATTTATATACATTTATGTATGTGTGTGCATGTGCGTACGTGTGTGCGCGTGTCCGATTATTGTATTCAAGAATCTTATATCTATAAAAAAGCACAATGACCAAATTATATGATATTTATCATGTCTCGATAATTTATTAACTTTTGTACTAGAAACCAGCATGTTACTATATTTACTTAACAATTTTGATTTCTGTATTCAAATCTAATTTTTTCTATGATAAATCTTACAGGCAAACTATTTACATGAAATGAAAGTGCAGTTTAATAAATTTAGCGTACTTACCAAGATGGATGTGCATTTATCACCTGAACAGAACTATTTAAGCCCTTCAGAAAGCTCTCTCCTGTTTTCGGAAACAACGCGGTTAAATTTAATTGACATTAACAATGGAAACAAATTATATAACGACACTTATGATTTCAATTAACAGTTTAATTTAACAGTTGTGAAAAAAATATACAGTCTACATGTGTAATGTCTACATACATATAAATTCTTTGTTTAACTACTTATTTTGTTTTTTTAACTACTTATGTCAGTAAACTTTTTTGTGTTTATAGAAGATATAATATTATATTAAATAAAACAATTGATAAAATTATGATCTTTTTTGATTACTCAATTTTTTATCCAGTCGACAAAACAATTTCTCTTCTTTTATATTCCTCTTATAGCATTGTGTCTAAAAATGCATCACGTTTATTTACTGAAGATGATACAAGTTGTTCAAGTCCTGAATTTAAAATAAATAAAGAATTAATTAATAAATAATTCAACATGTAGATATTATTTCTTCACAATTATTAATTGTCAATATAGATTTTATTTTTGATTTTGTTTGTTCGTCAACTGATATATCGCGAATGAAGATGGGATTAGTAGTTACTATTTAAGTTACGTCATATATACGATAATTAATGCTCTGCGTGGCAAATGGGATTGGATTACTAATTTTACATATGCGTTCGTTGGCGCACGCTCGTGTCGAATTTGTTTGCAAAATATAGCGATCGTGCCGAGCTCGCAATGCGCCCGTAGTAACACGAGCCATTGCGTTCAGTGAAAGCAAGCAACGTTCAATCAGAATGCCATTACCACATATCTGTCGATAATGAGGCGGAAACTGCTGTGGCACGTTTGGCGCTTCTGTAGAACGCGATCGTGTTACATTCGTCAATGTTGTTCTCCTTCATGTAGATACTAAGAGCTTGCGACTGCAAACTGGATTGGTTTTAGACCAAACTTGATATCCTTTTCTGAGCTCAGTGCTAAAGGGGGAAGGCGCAACGAACGAGTTGTGATTAGGGAAATAGCACAAGAAAACCGAGATCGCATAGCTCTGCGTCTTATAATCATATGCATAATTTAACGAATTCCTGTGT